CATAAAGCCTGAGAACAGGGCCCCGCGCTCTTACCTTGTCTAACCCTCATGGCAATCGCTTCAGCCGGAAGGAAACCCAGCTGAAGAGGAGGCGAAGTTGCTTGTCCGAGGTCTCAGGCAGTTGACTCCAGAGCTTTCTACATCCTGTGTTAACTCGGACGACACTGCGGAATGATGCCCATCTCGGGTGGATTGTGAGGCCAAGTTTTACAGGTAGAAATGGGACAACCCATCAAACCAAGCATCACAGAGTGAAGTGCTGAATACATGGGCATAACTGTCACTGCTAAGTCATGATCAGACCTAGCACCTGAGCTCGAAGCCTGGTGCCTGCAAAGCAGCCAGGTGCTGATTCTCCACCCCTGTGCATGCTATGAAAGCTCTGAACAAGGACTCCGAATATTTTCTCTTTATCTGCAGCTTATCTTCAGGAAGGTTGGGCACACAATGGCTATTCAGTCAATGGGCACTTGTTTTGGTTTAATGCTATTTATTTTTTTAAAATACTTATATTTTAGTTTTAAGTAGACACTGTATCTTTATTTTACTTTTATGTAGTGCTGAGGATCGAACCCACTGCCTCATACATGCTAGGCGAGTGCTCTACCACTGAGCCACAACCACAGCCCTGGTTTAATGCTATTTAAACCAGAGCTTTACGCAGACTTTCGGATTCAAAAGTAATACAAACTCAATACAGAACATTTTGGGGGTGGAGCAGGCAAAAATTAATCTTGTCATTTCAGTGCCACAGAAAGGTACTGATAGGTATATATCACTTCTTTTTCTTTTCTTTTTAGGTACCAGGTTTGAACCCAGGAGCGTTTAACCACTAAGCCAAATACCCAGCCATTTTTTTTTTTTAAATTTTGTGACAGGGTCTCCTAAGAGCCTTACTGAGTTGTTGAGGTTGGCTTTGAATTCAGGATCCTCCTGCCTCAGCCTCCCAAGACGCTAGGATTCCAGCGTGCCACCATTCCTGGTTGGTATATGTCATTTCTACAGGCCACTAGACTTTCATTAAGTTTCAGATAATCAAGTGTTACGTGTTAGAAAAGGAAGGGCTCTAAGCAGGGCCACCGAGTGGAATAAAGGCCCCACGCTGGTGCGGTACACTCTGCACAGACAGAGCAGCCTGGCTCTCAGCTTACTGCTCAGTGTCTTAAACTCACTCCCCTCCAACACACCACAGGGAGTGTCGCTTCTCCAGAGCCGTTGACTCAGGGCAGTCATAATCTCGCAAAGGAGAGGGAGGGATGAGGGCCGTGCCATCCTCCAACAGGATAGCGCCTAACCTCTGAGAAGGAGCAGAAGTCATCTGGAAAGAACACTCAGGTGCTTCTGATATTAAATCCACCCTCATTGTGACTCACTAATCTGGCTTTATAGGATGGAAACTGGGGCTCTGAGAGGAGGGGATTACTCAGAATAAAGAGGCCAGAGGTCAGGGAGAACTTGAATTCAGAACCCTAACTTAGGCCAGTTCTACCAGAATGGGGTCAGGTGAAATCAAATCTCAATTCCTTCACTTATTAGCTTCTGACTTTCAGCAAATCAACTGACCAGCAGAAGCCTCAGTTTCTTCATCTATAAAGCAGGTTGTCATCTTCTTCATTAGGTTCAAATGAAGATTAAAAGAGGGACGAAGAAAGGCTTCTCTAACTCCTGAGCGCCAGGGACTGCACAATGTGCTTCTCGTGCATTACCTCACTGAGCACTCACAATAGCCTGAGGGGAGCTGGGTGTTATTTTTATAACCATTTTACAGGTGAGGAAACTGAGTCTTAGAGCTTAAGTCATCTGCCCAACATCATGGAGCAAGTAAAAGGCCTGGCTGAGATCTGATTGTTTGGTTTGGGTGCTGGGGATTGAACCCAGCAGCGTTTTTACCACTGAGCCTCACCCCTAGTCCTTTTTTTAAATTTTGAGACAGGGTCTCACTAAGTTTCTGAGGCTGGCCTGAGGTTGTGATCCTCCTGTGTCAGCCTCCAGAGTTGCTGGGATTCCAGGTGTGCACCACTGTGCCTGGCTGAGCTGGGATTTAGAATTTCATCAGTCTTAGCGCCATCCCATAACACAAGTAATTCTTAACACAGTGCTTGCAAAACACAAACACTAACCAGCAGCCATCATTTACTGTTATTGTGAATATAATCGCTACATTACATATGATTGGTTGGTCTCTGTTTTTAATCTCCTTGACAGAGAGAACCCAAGAACTGGGTTATCCCAGAAAGGGAAAGAAGGGTCAGCCTCACCCAGTCCTAGGCCAAAGTCATGCTACCCAGGAGCAGGGTGGGCTGCAGCAACACCTGGGCCATGTCTCTTTAAAACCTTGGTCTCTGAGTTGTGGAATGAAGGCCTGGAACAGTCTTGCCTCCTAACAGGGGGGGTGTCACTGCTCTTTGAGGGGTCCTCTAACATTGCAAACTGGTTCATGGTGTCCCTGCCTACTCCAGACCCTGGGTAGGATGGAGGGACCCCTTGTTCCTCCATCCTTCCCAGGGGACCACCTGGAGCCTTCCAATGTGTGGAGGCAGAGAAATCCTCTCCATGACTCTGGCCTTTGCACATCTCCAGAAATGGGCTTGGGTGACCAAAGAGGCAGGACTCAAAGAGAGTGAGAGAGAAGCTATTTTTAAAAGCCCAGTGAAGCCAGGTGTTGCACATACCCGTGATCCCGGCAACTCAGGAGGCCAAGGCAGGAAGAGCACATGTTCGTGGTCAGTCTGGACAACTCAGCAAGACCCTGTCTCAATAAATAGGGCTGGGATTTAGCTCAGAGATACAGTGCCCTTGGCTTCAGTCGCCAGTTCTATAGACATTCATCAATTAAAAAGTTCAGAGAGCCGGGCACAGTGGCGCACAACTATAATCCAGCCACTTGAAAGGACCACAAGTTGGAGGGTAGCCTGGGCAACTTGGTGAGACCGTGTCTTAAATTAAAAAATAAAGGGCTGGAGATATAGGTTAGTGGCAGAGTGCCCCTAGGTTCAATTCCCAGTACTGCAAAAAAATAAAAATAATAAATAAATAAATCGCTAAGCCGAGAGAGCACAGACAGACATGCCACGTAGAATTCCAGCCCCCTCCAGGCCCAGCCAGCGTGAGTCACCCCAGCCCTTCACCAGCGAATTGCAACACACTGACAGAAACTCCACAGCCTTCCAAGGTGTGCAGACAGGTTCGCACAGAGAAGTGTGCCACCCTTTGGGCTGCAGCACGCTGTGCAGTTACAGTTGGCCAGAAGAGCCTTCCTGCCACCAACAGCCCCTGTGCTCTCGGTTAAATCCCAGCTCCAGCTCCGCCGCTGCAGGGGGAGGGGGGAATGGCAACCTGAGCCATCTGCTTAATCCCTCTGCACCGCAGTCTGCTCATCTCTAAAGTGGGAACACAGGAACCATAAGTGTGGACTCCCAGGGTGGTTCAAGCACTAAATAACACACGTGAAGGTGGAGCTGGGACAGCGCCTGGGACACACAGGGTATGGAGACCTGCTGGGAGCCAGAGCCTGAAGGGGAGATTCACAGCGTTCATATTCCAGAGGAAGGACAGACAGATGAATAGTTAGAAAACTATCCAAAAAGTCCCAAGGCCTCTTCAGAGAACACAAATGAAGTGGTGTGACACAAAGAACTGAATGTCTCCTTTGACAAAGGTGATTGGAGGGACAGCTCTGAGGAGGTGACTTAATTATCAGCAACTATTATTATTTCCTATTGTGAGGGCCGCCGTGGGGTGCCTCCACACAGACTCCAATGAGAAACCAAACTCTCCAGGTTCTCAAACCCAAGAGGGCTCCTTTGAATTCTGACTTTCTGGCAGCAGCAGCTGAGACAGAAACCAGGTTCCTGGGAGACCAGGCAAAGCGGAAGGGGGCAGCAAGAGAAAAGGGGAAGAAAAGACCCCGAGATCTTCAGCTTACATTTAATTTCAAATTAATCCTGTGGAATCTCTTTTGAAAGCCCCAGCATTCTCCTCTTTGTGTTTGGGGATATTCTGGGGTTACCGACCTTATTCTTTACAGAAGACAGCTCTCGGCCATTATTCCACAGTTGCTCTAACAGGCATCTGATTTCCCCTGAGTTCCCAATGCAGAACAAGCACTTAGGAGTCTGAAAAACCAACGGCCAAGTAAAGCCCCAAAAGTGAACAGCTTCAACTTGTCCATCCTTCTGCGCTGGCCAGAGGCCCATGGTTTGCCCACATCCCATTTAGATCTGTATCACATAGATAAAAAGTTGCGCTGGCCCCACTCTCCCGCCACTGCTACCACCACCACCACCACCCCCAACACACACACACACACACACACACACACACACACACAAATACACACAAATACACACACACACACAGTAAACTCCTCCAGAGGAGTAACCCTGGTTTTTTGGCCTCTGTTTCCCCAGAACCATGAGTAGGCCCTCACAGACATCTGGTGCTCAATAGATGCGCGTTGAATTGAGGCCAGGACTGAAGACCCAGACGCACTCTGCCACTCACTAGCTTGTGCCCTCGGGCAAATCAAGCCAGCATTTCCTCCCTCCTGTGCCTTGGGCGTAGGAGAGGAAGGCAGAGGTGACCGGAAGTCCACCATTGTGGGTTACTAGGAAAATCAAAAGAAATCGCTTGGATAATTGCAAAACGTTATTTATAAATGTCATCCTAAGGGGAAAAAGTCCTGAGGAAAAGAAGGGAACCTATACCGAGGCCTTCCTGGAGAGGGTCTGCTCTCCTGTGACGTTTCCCAGTGGCAGAGGAGGGGACCATGGAATTTGGTGGAGGTAGGGGGATGTTTCTGGGATCCAGGACACGGACTAGAAACCGGGATGGAGATTTTTTTTTTTTTAAGCCCTATCTGTTTATCCTGTACTTTCGTCGTCTTACTTCTTTCCAACCTGACTGTCCCCTCCTCCCTCCTCCGCTCCTCTCCGCCCCCCGCCCCCTCGCCCAGCAGGGAATTGGCCGGCCGCGCCCCGCCGGCCCGGCTCCGCCCCCACGCGGCGGCCAGGAGTTAACAGCTGCACCTGTTAGGTATCCCCGCAGTCGCCGGCACCTGTCCCCGCAGCCAATCAGCGCCCGCGCTGCCGGGAACCTAGCTGTCAGCAAAACCCCGACACCCAAACCTCAACATAAATCAAACACTGCCCTGGGCCGGGGATGTCTGTGTCGGGCCCGCACTAGGGACGCGCGGTCAGCAGAGCCCCAGCGCCGCTCGGGTGGCCGCAGCCGGGAGCAGGAAGATGTCGAATGAACTTGAGTGAGTAGGGCGGCCGCGGCCGGCGGGGGCTCGGACGGGGTTCCCCGGGGGTAGAGCGGGGAGGCCGGCGCCGGGGTTCACACGGCAATTTGTTCGGGTGAATGAATGGGCCGCCGCTCGCGCTGCGTGCCCAGGCAGGCCCCCGCGGCTCGCGCTCAGCGTTTCCCTGGGAAAGTGGCTCTTCTCTGTTCTCTGCCGAGCAGTTTCGAGCCAGCTAGGGGAAACGCGGGACTGAAACTGGAGGGTTTTGGCACCACTTTTTGATCCTCCGAAGGGGCCTCGGAAATGAGACACAATCCCAACCTGATGGAGGCTTTCTATCTTCTTGCCAAAAGGAACTTCTTGGAGGTGGTTCCAATAGCGTCTTGGGCAGAGAGTTGGGTTTCTCTAAAGGGACTTGTTTGTTGAGCTGGAACCATCCCAAGCGAGAAAGGTACAGTGAGCGTGGCGGTGGAACGTGCGCACTCTGTGGTGGGCTTGACCTAGGTTCAAATCCAGACTGTCCCTGGCAGGCTGGGTGTTCTTGGACAAATCATCCAACTTATCGGAGCTGCATTTTCCTCATCTGGAAAATGGGTACAAGATTGTTTGGTAGGATTCTGGAGAGAGTTAAGTGGCTGAAGTCTGTAAAATGCTTAGCCAGAGCCGAGGTCTGAAGAGGTGTCCATAAAATGTGGTTGATTTTATTCAGAGGCAGTTATAAGGCTGGGGAAGCTGAGGAGTGGTTTTGGGTGAGGTCACCTCTGTTGCCTGGCAGGAGGCAGGTGCATCCCAGCCCACATTTGGGATTCAGAATTCTGATTGGCTAATGCTGACCTTTAGTGTGGACCCCCAGGCTAGAGGTCCAGACCTCAGAGGAGGTGGGATGAGGCTAGGATCTGGGCTGCTTGGGTTCAGGACGCTGGTAGAAACCAGACTTTTCAAACACTGACTGTCTTCTTCCGGCCACCCTCAGAGATGAGTGGGCAGAAGCAAGAGTTGAAGAATCTTTTTTTTTTCCCTCCCCCAAGCTATTCAATTGATTGGTTTAACAACTTAAAGACCGCAGGCAGAGCAGTCGACTGGTCCAGTATTCCATGATACTAGCCAGCTTTGGGGTTCTTCTGGGTTGGTCAGTTATGTTCATAGTACAATCACTGGGGTTAACAGGCATCAGATAACATTTGAATAAATTTCCCCGGGTGGACAAAGTGTTGACAATTGGGACCACAAAGAGTAGGAACACTGCACAGAAGCTTGGGTTCAAGTCCCAGCCCTGCCACTTATCTGTGGCCTGGGCACCCCAGGTTCCTTAGGCTCTTGGAAGGCCCAACAGTTTGTCAACTAGGCAAGTTGCTTCACTTCTTGGGATCCTTGCCTGTAAATTGTGGCCAATAGGGGTACCCACCTCACGGAGTTGTTCAGGATTCAACGATTTTAGATTAGTGATTGCTTTAAAGCCTGATTGAGAGCAAGCTAACAACTCCGTGGTTATTTCATATAAAAAGAAACAACTGAGCTTTTATGAACCCTCTTGCTTTCCAGTTTTCACACTTGGAACATGCACAAAAATATTTTGAGATGTGCCTCCATCCCATTTAGATCTGCTGATTAAAACTGCAGATCTATTTGTTGCAGACAGAATCTATTTGTGTTGCTCCTCAGGGGACAAGTGTCCGGAAGTGGGATTACTTGGAGAAAGATTTTCTACTTTCCTCCTCCTTAGTGATTTGGGATTTGAAGTCAGATCCGCAGACAGTTGAGGCTTCTCTATTTGGGTGCTTGGAGAAGGAAGCCTGTGCCTGCTGAGTAATTGCAGGCTGACTCTGAAGCCACTACTTGAGATTACAATGACAGAGCCTGGGGCTCAGCTGCCCCTACTGATAAGGGGAGGGATACTAAGTGCTTGGCTTGCAAGTTCTGAGCTGCTGCTGTTGCCTCCTTCAGTCTTGCTGGGGCAGTCCCTGAAGAAGCATGGAGCTGAGAAGACTGGTTCAAACATACGTTTTGAGCCTTGATGGAAGGACCGACTCTTGCTAACCCTGGGTACAGTGCAAAAAAGCTGAACTTGAATCTCTCCAAACTGCAGGGTCCTGGTGAATTTGTACTCCCTGACCCTCAGTTTCCCCATTTGTGAATGATGTCTATAAACACCTACCTGCCGGGGGAACAGTGAGCTCCCCTAAGTGGATCACCCGGCTTCAAGTAGGAGCTCCAAGAACGTCAGCCTGATTACTAGGCTTCGGGTGGAGGGCGGCACTTGGAAGGCCTGGTGCTGGGCAGGATGGAGGTTTGCCGGTGGAGTCAGAAACCAGCTCCAGGCAGCTGGTGGGTGGCGAGCGCCTGGGCCTTTCATGTGGTCAGGCCCAGCGCCGGGCGCCTCCGCCAGCCCCCAGGCCTCTGCCAGCCGCCCTGGCTGCCTCCAGCCCGCAGCCTCGCCATGCCCTGGGGCTGGGCCCTGCCACCAGGGTTCCTGGGGCTGTGGCCCCAGTTCTCGCGGGAAAACGAACGGTGCTGTGTGCCGCGAGTGCGCTTGCGCACAGGCCTCCCTCTGCCTTCCCAAGCGGGCAATGCATTCCACTGGTGGGGCCTAGTCCAGCTGCTGTGGGCGTCTGGTGACCCGTAGTCCCTTCCGAGTGCCCTGAGGCTCTCCTGGGGCCTACTGTGCGCCTGGCACGCCTGCACCAGCCAACCTCGCGCCTGAGTCGGGCGCGGATCTACCGCGGAAGGAAGCAGGGCTTGGCCACAATTGGACCTGACACATAGTAGGTCCATCAAATGGAGGCTGCATGTCAGGATAATCCCTGCCGCTTCCCTCATCCCGCAGCCTGGACCCCTACTCCCTTTTGGGAATTTTATCCCCATCCCCAAATCGCCAGAGAGAGGCGACTGGGGGCCAGGTGACTGGAGGCCGAGATCCAGGCTGGGCCAGTGGCCAAGGCCCGGCCGCCGTCCATCTGATCTCGGAGAGCACCGGCTCCAGACTGCCTGGAGCGCTGAAAGAGTTAACCAGGAACGCCTCCCCGCTGCGGTTTTGTGGTCGAAACCATGATTGCCAGGAGCAAATTTTTGTCGTGCACAAGGTGTGTTATTAAAAGTCGGAGTTATGCTGCTGGTGAATGAAAAGTTAAAAGCCCTCATTAAGCCTGGGCTGTAAAGCAGGCGGACTGTGCGGAGAGGCTGAGGGACAGCCCTAACGGCGGAGGCCTGGGCACCCCAGGTTCCTTAGGCTCTGAGACCAGCCACAGGCCCAACAGTTTGTCAAGAAGTCCCACACTGGGGGACAGGAGCAGGCAGAGAGGCGGCAGAGCTGAAGCACAAGTAGATCCTCAGCTTTCTGGTGGGTTAAAACAAAAACAGCAGAAATTGAGCACTGACTCCACATTTGACACAGACTGTGTGTCAAATACTTGATGGCTACATTGTGGCCTTTATTCCTCCCAATGACACAGAGGTGTAAGTGCAATTTTGCAGAAGAGGGGACTAAGATTTGGCTCAGGAGTGCCCAGGGTCTCACCAAAGAACTGGGATCTTAGATGGGTCTTCATCAGGAGCCAGAACAATGAGCCACAATAGTACGCCATCCTGTGCCTAGACATTCAAAAAGGACAGGGAGCTAGGCATATCTATATATAGATAGAAAATATCTATATAGAGATAGAAAACAGTCGTTTACTCAGAGTGGAAGAAAGTGAATGAATTCTCTTCTCTGCTTCCTGTTTCTTTGTGGGTTTCACATTTTATATACATATATTTTACAAACCTATGTTGCTTTTGAAATGAGGAAGGGGGAGAGAGGAAGTCAGTGTTAAGAGATTAGTTCACCCCACTATTTTAAAGAGAGAATTGTTGGTTTACCCAGAACAGTGCTCTCAAAGTGTGGTGCCTGGATCATCATCTTCATCATCATCTGGGAACCTGGAAATGCAAATTCTCAACCCCACCCTAGACCTACTAAATCAGAAACTCTGGGGGTGGGGCTCGGCATGATGTGTTTTAACAGGCCCTCCAGGTGATTCTGATGCATGTTCAAGTGTAAGAACCATTGGCCTAGGAGACCAGGCAGAGGATTGGGAAGCAGGAGGTTCCCAGATCCACTCCTGACCTCAGTGCTGTCACTGAGTCAGCGGGCTGAGGGCCTTGCTCCAGGATCACACCGTGTTTAAAGCCCCGCTCTGCCACCTGTGGACTGGATGACTTTTCCTCCAGATCTTTTACCTAAGTGTCAGTTTTTGTTCATGTAAAATAGTGACCAAAACACCCATCTCACAGGACACGTGTGAGAACAAAAAAGGCACAGCACCTAACTGTACCAAATAATTTAGATCCTTTCCCTTCACTTATCTGCCTTCCCTTGCTGGCACTCTGCTTTCCCATTTGTAAAATGTAGCAGATAATCCTCGCTGGCTATCTCTGTCTGTCTATCTGTCTTCCTCCCTCCCTGCCTCCCCCCTTTCTTTCTTTGTCCCTTTCCCCACCCCTTTGCCTCCTAAAAAGGCCAGGGCAACTGACCTAGTGAAAGTCTTTAAGAGAAATGTGTCACCGATGTTGAGTTAGGGTTAGGGCTTGGGTTCGAATCAGGAACTTTCAAGGGTGGGACCAGCGTGCTATTCACCACTGTGTTCCCAGTGCTCTTCATGTGGCCTCTTATAGAGTGGTCTTCAGTATGTTGAGTGAATCCATGAGTGAATGAACCTCTGGGTGTAGAGGTGGGTTTCAGGTTCTTTCACACCTCAGTTGAACAATCATGAAAAAAAAAATAAGAAACCAAGAGCATGAAAGAGCAATTCCCATACAGGGAAGAATTTTTCAAAGGGTAGAAACTGAGTTTCTGGTATAATTAGAAAATGGCACGTAATTAATTTACATGCAACTAGCAGTGGTTGCTGGAGGCTGACAGCCCTCAACTTGCCCACCTGGATCCCGATGGGGAAGCAGGTGATGCTCACCCCCTTATCTTGGCATCTGCAAGCTTCAAGCCTGCTTCTGCCAGCTGGGAAGAGATGTCCCACTTTTCGGTG